ATATATATATATATATATATATATATATATATATATATATATATATATATATGTCACTTTGGCATATAAATCACATTTATTATGCATCACTGCTGACCTGTCGTGTTTATTTAATGGTCAAAACACCATCCATCCATATCCATCCATCCATATCCATATATCCATCCATCCATCCATCCATCCATCCATCCATCCATCCATCCATTCATATCCATCTATCCATCCATCCATATCCATCCATCCATCCATCCATCCATCCATCCCAGCCAGAACTGCTAGCTCTCCAGCGTTCCTCAGTCTGCACCAGCTGAGTGAAGCAAACGTGCACAGGAGGACTTGCTCTTGCAATTCTTAGAAATTTAAAGCATCAGTCAAAAATTGTGTTTTGAATATGAAAAAAATACAAAAGTTGTATATAAGTCGATTTGGCGTAGAAGTCGCAGGACTGACAAATCTATGAAAAAAAACTGTGACTTATACACCGGAAAATATGGTAATTTGTGCCCAAGTGTGTGAATAGTTTTTATTCAGCTGCTGCTTTTGTAAAAACAGCAGCGGACTGAGAAAAACATCTACACCGACAGGATGACTTCAAAATATGGTATAAACAACTGTTTTGTCATTTTTACTGTTGAATGATCTTCATCTGCTTGATTTAGAATTTTTACAGTTTATGTTTTATGGTTTTTATTTGTATATTTTCACTCATGTTCAGTGTCGTTTCATATCAGCAGGCCCGTCCTGCAGCAGGTCTCTGGCGCTCCTGCAGATGCAGAAATGTAGATTTATTACAGCTCAGGATCTGGCAGGTTTTCAGCTCACAAGCCATCAGCTGAGAGCCATCGCTCCGGGCCTCGTTTCTGCTCCCCGAGTCTCTAAAATGTTTTATCTACGCCGCTGAGCAAGGGCATTGTGGGACGTGTTGGGCTTGGCGCCTGCAGGTGTGTCTGAAGGTGAGGCGTTAAATGTTCTGTTGTAAAACAGCGTTGGCCTCTGAGCAGTGTCAGCGCAGCTTTCCAACACACTGGTGGAGAGCACGGTGTCAGTAAACATGCAGAGTGGCAGTCTTACTCTTATTGCTGTGCATCTGGTGACTGTCGAAGCCTCCGAAGGTTTCAGCCCGTCGGGGCAGACACACGGGCCCGGCGCCTCCTCCCTCATGGACGCTGGCCATCGCTCCCCCCAGGCTGCTGTTCACCAGCGTCTGTAACGTCTCCACTGTCAGCCACACACAGAGAGGCAAACATTAACGTCCAGGTCAGTAAGTGAATTATCTCAGCTAACTGTGTTACTGTTCAGCTCTGAATCTTCTGCTTTCAACCTGTTGCTGCCTCCTGTTGCTAAGCAACTACTGTCAACCTGTTTGATCGACATAGCTTCCTCATGAAAACGTGCAATTTGAAATCTATCTAAAGTTTGAACAGACACACACGTTGGCCTCAGCCTGCGTGGAAACCTGCAGAGAAATTCAGAGGAATCATGAAGGTTGTTCACTGGATTCAAACATGCGGTAAAAAATAACCACATTCGAACAACATACAGCTCAGAACGTCACCCGGTTCACTCCTCAGATCACGCTGCTTCCTTTTATATGTAGCTCGGATAAAAATCTATATTTTTATGTATTCTGTACGCTGCTGAAAAAACTAAAATCTCAGAACACTCTCGCCTTCTGCTCGCTCTCAAGCTCTGATGAGATGCAGCCAATCACGTCTGGAGCAGGACGAGCTCTTATATGAAGGATTCTTACGGATAAACATAAGATGAGTTAAATCAACTCAGGCAGTTTCATTTGTAATGATAATGTCTGCTAATGAACTTTTAATGAACTTTAGTTCACCGTTAAATCTCTGATGAAGTAGATTCTACAAAAACATCTATATTTAAAATTGTAGTTTTTCTTTAGCATTTGATGTATTTGCACTCATTGTGTTTACTTTTATTGTTCAATTAGATGTGTGGTTTTGTTTCTTGTTCAGATATTTGTTTTTATTTTTAGCTTTGCTTTAGTTTAGAGTTCTTGTTTTGTGATTTGTACATCTGTGGGTTAGAATAAAGTTGAACTAAAGGCTGTATCTCTTCGTTAAACATGTTTGAGGGAAATATTCCTGAGAGATCCAATAATTTTATGTATTGTTATGATTTTTCAGCTGAGTTAACTTTAACAGATTATGTAATAGTCATTAAAGTGAAAACAGGATTTCATGATAAAGCCAGCACTATTTATTTTTTTTTATTTTCACTGATAAAAAATATATATATAAACTTTTTAATACATAAAAATGTTTTTAAAAATCATTTCCATCCTCCGTCCCGGTCTGCCCGTTTGTTGGAATCGGGGTTCAGCCTTCATGATCACGCGAGTCTGGGTCCGGACCTCGACCTTCTGTGAGTCAGCAGCTCGTATGATCCTCCGTGGTGACAAGCGGAATCTTAAAAATAGATCCAGATGCTGCTCTGAGTTCAGAGTAAATGCAAATGGTGGACCGGTGTTTTGAAAAGTTTCTGAAAGATCCAGTGACTCCGCTCCCTGACCAATCAGTGACCAACAGTGTTCTGATGTCACGTTTTGGTGCCGGCTCGTTTGTTCCCTTGAGGAGAAGGGACCAAAAAAGGGGCCAGTTCTGCAAAAAAATGACAGTGGAAAAGGGCTCAAAACCGTACCGAACTGAGCCGAACTGGGCTGAAGAGGAGCTGTGGAAAAGGCCCATTTACATGAGAGATTTATTATGAAACAAGGTGTTTCTGCTTGTTTCCTTCCCACAACACATTCAGTCTAAACCCTCTCTTGTCTTACCTTCCTGCAGCGCGTCTTTCATGATGGACGCCCCCCGAGGGGGCTCCTGGCTGCTGGTCGACCTGAAGAAAGGCTGGACCTGCCGGCAGGCCTCCTCGCCTGGACTCAAGCCATCCCACATCTCCCTGAAGAGCCGCACCTTGTCCTCCAGCAGAGACATGATCTCCGTATCCTTCTGCTTCAACATATCTGATCGGAGGAGACAGACGGGTCACAGTTAGACAGACAGAAGGAACCACAGGCCTATTTAATGTCCTCTAGAGGACCCCCCCCCCCCACACACACACACACACACACACACACATATTCAACATTTAGCATGTTTTTCTCACCTCGCATCTCTTTGGCTTTGGTCTCTAATTGTCTTTTGTCGTCTTCTGTCTCGCTGGGAATCCCTTCATCTTCATCCTTCTCCCTGCACAGAAAGAAGCGCACACATGACAGACTGCAGCTGTAGTCATTTTAAAGATGATTTAACTCATCAAACTGACAGAAGGAGGTTTTATCCACACAAATCAACTACAGTTATAATGAAAATTACATTTACAAAACGTGCAAGGCTTCTTCTACCCAAGAAAATGGACATTTTATGGTACAAAAGACAAAGAATATTGACGATTTGTTGTTTTTTAAGACGGATTGTCCTAATATAGTCATTTATGAAATTTCTAAATTGCTTCCAGATAATTTCAGACATCTTCCTGACTTGAAGATTCCCCCCCCCTTCAAATTAATTTAAAAAATTTATTTATTCCAACTTTTTACATAAAACGACAGGTGGAAACATTCCATAAAGCAAAACGTGCATTTACCATGTTTTCTTAAACTGACGACAGCCCTTTGTTTTAATCTCAGAGCTCAGTTTTGTATTCTGACAGAAGTTGGATCAGGAGGGAGCGAGACAAGAGCAGTAAATCTCTCTCCTTACGTTCGAATAATCCTCTGCTTATGGGGAGCTGCCCTTGCAGCCAAATCCAGCTCCCTGAGCACATCTCAGCCACAGGTAGAGTTGTGCTAATCCTCCTGACAGCACAGTACTTTGTCACAACTTACTGTATATTACCATCAAAAGAACTGGGCTGAGTCTACTTCCTGGTTTACAACAAAGATCACTGTAGGCGAACTCTTCAGGAGCCAGACTTGAGTGACAGCAGAATTACCGTAAGAGTAGAAAAAGAAGATTACACTGGTAAAACATTTCTCCCGCACTAGTAACACCTCGGAGCAGTTTGATAGTGGGATTATTCCAAAACCCAAATGCAGGAACATCCCAGCGAACACCTAAGCGCCTCACACTCACATGGACTGCATGGCGTTGTGGATGAGCTGTATCCAGGTGTTGCGCTCCTCCTTCGAGCTGACCAGGACCTCCATCATCTCCGGCTTCTCAGTGCCTGCCGTGATGAGGAAGAGGCCACGCTCTTTGTTGGCGACCTCCCTGACGATCAGCTTCTGGAGGGACAGGACCGTGGAGCGCTGGTCCTGAGAGGACAGGGAGACCATTTGATGAAGAGAATGTGGGAGGAGAACAGATCAAGGAAAAGAAAATACAGTGGGAGGGTCAAGATGGGGAGAGGATGGAAAAAGCAGGAAGGAGGGTGGGTTGTAGCGCAAGAAAACAAGAAGGGAGGGGATAATTACTGGTGAATGAAAGGCAAAAGGGACGATCACAGAAGATAAAGGGAAGGGCAGTTTTAAAAGAGGGATTATAGAGTTAGTGAGGAGTTGGTGAAAAATGACAAATATCTTGAGGAAGAACACAACTGAGATGCTGCCAGCTCTGTTTACAGCAGCGACACAAACCACCGTTTGATTTCCGCCACATCCAGCCAGACTTGAGCTGTAACCACATCCCAACATTTTTCCTGTAAAACCACTTGTCTGAGGTTTGAACAACAGGGTTAGATTTTTTTTGTTTTGTTTTCATGGTGTGGCTGCACTGTACTCAAAAGGAAAAACAATACTCGAACCTTGAAAACAAATCAACTCCATTATCTTGTTATACTTTTTCTCCCCTAGATTCTATTTTTAACAGGAGTTCAGTGAAGAGAAGTCAGAACAGAACTGATGTTTTCCACAAAAACTGGCATGAGAAACTGCTGCATCTGTTATACAGAAGATAAAATGTTAATTAAACCATATTTTATTACTGTGTTTATGAAACATTCACACTATTGTGATCCATTTTTCTTCCGTACGTTTTTCAGCATCTTAATCATTCCCAATCCTCATTTTTGTGCTATTTCAACAAATCATAAATCAAAACGTTCAGTTCTTTCAGGACAATTCTGCTATGACTTTTGGTATTGGTGCAACTTTAGCTTCTTGACATATTTAGCCTTTTCTGCCATTTTTGTATCATCGAAAATGAATTGAGCTCATTTTACATCCTTCAAATCTTTAGATCTGTTTAAAACTTTTACTGCTCCTTTCACATTATGTTCTGCTTCAGCTTCTTTCAGCTTCCTTGTGCAAATTTAAACTATTTTTAGCTACTTTCAGCGGTTTATTTTCTTAAGGTGTTTTGCACTCCTTTTAGATTCTTTCTGCTAACTACAACATTTTTCTGCTTCTTCTAACTTATTTCTGCTTATTTTAGCTCGTTATGCTCTTTTCAGCTTTTTCTGCAATTTCGGCTACTATATTAGCTGTTTTTATGTTAATTTTAGCTATTTCTGCTAATTCCACATTTTGTTGCACTCATTTAAACTTTTCACAGCCTAATTTAGCAAAAATGTGTTCTGTCCACTTCCTTATGGTAATTTAAGCTTTTAGAACATTTTTTTGCTTCTTTTCAGCTGTTTTTAGCAAATTTCAGTATAATAGCCACTTACTGTACTCATTTTGCTTATTTCAGTCTAATTGGGTAAACATGTTCTTTCTGCTTTCTTCTGCTAATTTAAACTTGTTTTACCTTTTCAGCTAGCTTTTTAAAAGCATTTTTCAGCTAATTTCAGCTTTCAGATAAATTCAAGTTATTTTTGGTAATTTCTGCTACTTTCATTCAGTCTAACTAACTTATTTCTGCTAATTTCAGCTTTTTGCTATTTCAGATACTTTTTTAGCTGTTTTGTGCTAATTTCAGCCTTTTTCAGCTAATTTACTAAATTTTGTTATCATTTCAGCTTACTTAAATCTAATTCTGCAAATATGTGTCCTTTCTGCTTTCTTCTGCTAATTTAATCTTGTTCCACCTTTTCAGTTAGCTTTTTAAAAACATTTTTCAGCTAATTTCAGCTGTTTTCTGATAAATTCAAGTTATTTTTGGTAATTTCTGCTACTTTCAGCCTAAATAACTTCTTTCTGCTAATTTCAGTTTTTGCTATTTCAGCTACATTTTAGCCGTTTTGAGCTAAATTTAGCTTTTTCAACTAATATCCACTTTTTTAAAGCATTTCGGCTCCTTCCACTTCCTCCTGGTAATTTAAGCTTCTTTCCACCTTTTCAGCTATTTTTTGCTAATTTCAGCCTATTTTTAGCTACCGTAATTTTCTAATTTTTGTTATAATTTCTGCTTATTTAAATCTAATTCTGCAAATATGTGTTCTTTCTGCTTTCTTCTGCTAACTTAGGCTTGTTCTTCAATTTCAGCTATATTTCAGCATGTTTTTAGCTAATTTAAACTGTTTTTCAGCAAGTTCTTCAGTATTAAGCATTCACACTGCATTTTCACAGGAAATTCTATTTCTATATTAATTATAATTACGGTATTCCTATTTAAGATGGAAAAGAACATTTCTCTTTCTGACCTGAATGCTCAAAACTGAAACACAAACCTGATTATTCATTTAAAAGTCTAATTTTTGGTGTCAGAAACAGTCCATGCTCAAACACCCCTAATTTTTCTTTTAAAACCATGAATGTTTCATTCCCCCTAATGTGAGCAGGACAGCATGTGCCATGACATGAAGCTGAGAGTCCTACAAACACGGAAAAAACAACTCGAACCTTTAAGATTTACCACAGCTGGGTTAGGAGCCCGGGGCAACATTAACTTTATGAGGTTCAGCTAGCGTGCAAGCAGGAGGTAGCCATTACTGCGCAGTTGGAAACGTAAGCTGAGCAGCTAATGCTAACAGCCACAATGCTGGGATGGGAAAGTCTGACAACATCCTATTTTTATTGTTGGAGCGAGCAGGAGAGAGAGGGGGAAAGGGAATGCATAAAAAGACGCAGGAAGAGGATAAGATGACAAACTTTACCAGCATGGCAAATACATATTTCTGTTCTTTCTCCTGGAGGAAGACCAAGACATCTGAGAGCATTAAAGCATGGACATCTGGAAGAAAAAAATAAACAAAGTGTTATGAAATCCTCACTTTCACAAACACAGAGTCTTTAAGCCTGCTCACCCTTGAGTTTCCCCTGCGAGTTCTTGAGCTGCAGCGGTCCGTCGTGGATCAGCTTCCTCCTCAGCAGGTCCTCCCTGGCAAAAATCTGACCACTCTTCAGCATCATGATGGACTTGCTGTCCATGCGGCTGTGAAATTCCTTCAGGCGACACCTCTTTTCGTGCTCGTTCACCTTGCTGTCCACTGCAGCGATCACTTCCTTCACCAGCCGAACTGCCTCGGTCAGGTCGCTGTAGTCTTCATCGCTCTCTGTGTCCAACAAGAGGTTAGAAGATGAAGCAAATGTTCAGGAAAACTCTCAGACTTCACAGCAACCATTTAAAACTAATCAAGATTACCTAAGAAACAACATTATGAACTAGCAGAGGCTCAGAAGTTTGAATAATTATATTTGCTCGTTTAACAACTCAAATCCAACACATTTCAGCCTCAGTTATGCAGGAAAAAAGTGTCTGTCCGTAGATTAAGAGATATGTGACTGAATGAAGGTATTTCTGCTCAGTATGAAAAGCTGACGAGACAATAATATATGTTGAAAATGTTTTGAGCTCAATGGAGAGATGGTATGTGCTTTACAACAGTCTGAGCCATGTGGTCACCATAATCTGTTCAAGCTAACATAAATATGTTTGTGCTGCTGTTGTTTTGGCGCATTGTTTTTGTACAATTAGTGCTTATTGTATTAGTTTATAGGCTAATGATGAATGTAGCACTCCCTACCACCTTGTGCATGTGCATATTGTTTTTTTTTATTTGTGTAGTGTATTCTGCTTCTTTTTGATTATTTCACATGTGTTTTGCTATCTATCTATCTATCTATCTATCCATCTATCCATCTATCCATCTATCCATCTATCCATCCATCCATCCATCCATCCATCCATCCATCCATCCATCTATCTATCTATCTATCCATCTATCTATCCATCTATCTATCCATCTATCCATCTATCCATCTATCCATCCATCCATCCATCCATC